GAGACGTCCCAAGAGGCTTTCCAGAAGCAGAGAGCGTTTCATTTTCTATGGACAACATACATTTCCAGCACGTTCGCCTCCTCGGCTTTCACGAGGCCCGCGACAGCCCAAGAAGCCTTCCAGATCGACCCAATACGACCCAAAACGGCTCCCACAAGGACTCCAAGACAGCCCAAATGGGCGCCGAGAGGTCCCAGAAGCCACCAAACCGACCCAGGACGGCCTCAGGACGGCCCGAAAAAAGTCCCCACATGGGTCCCGCAAGGCTCCCCCGACGGCTCCAGAGCGCGAATTACGACTCGTGACGAGATCGCTCCCAGACGCCCGCCATTGCCTCCAGCTGACCCCTGAGGCCCCGTAGACGCCCCAACACGCCACCAGGACGCGTCCCAAGAGGCCCGGCAGAACCAAACCTCGACCCCTTCCCGAAGGGAGACGTCTAAGTTTAACACATTCGCTTTTTGAGCTTTCGCGGGTCCCACAGCAGCCCAAAAAACCCCCCAAATCAACCCACAAGCCCCCGCATGCCCCCAAGAAGACACAAACGGGCCCCAACAGGGCCCCCGAAGCCACCAGGGAGAGCCCCAGGACGGCCTCAAGTGGAGGGTAAGAAGGGAAACCCGAATGGAGAATTCGAGCACTTCGCCCCGAGAAAACATGAAAAGGCGCCTAAATGCACGGAGGCGGCCCTTCGACGACGAAAACCACGAAAAAACTGAAAAGACTAAGACTCTGCAGCAAACTTCTTCTCTTTTCCCCGCGCACAAATCGTTCACCATGGGCCCCCCAGACCCTTCCTGGAATCTAGTCGCAATCGTTTTCCCATATGCATCCAGCCGTGGCGACAGGGGAGGGGCCCGGACCCACCCCAAGCACAACAAACCTCCCGAGTCCGACAGGCTAGTTCGCACACATTCGTTCCCCGAACCTCTCCCCCGGAGTGCTGATGCAGTTATGCAATTTCTCGCCCCAGGTCCGTCCAGTTTTGAAAATCCTGGGGCCCAGCAACGGCCACCGAAGACCGAAACCTATCAAAAACAAAAACTGTTCAAACAAAAATCTCTCCGGAATCGCCGCTGGTCTTTCGACCACCCGAGGCATATCCTCGAAGTGAGTCTCCAGGAACCGTTTTCGGTGCCTGGGGCCACCGCCGAGGGTCCAGGATGAGGATCGACCTCCCTGGCCGGTGCCACTCCTTCGCAAAGGAAAGAACACAGGGTGGATCGAGGCTCGAGGCATGAGACTCAGTTCTTGGGCGCTCTCCGCCCTCTCTAGCCTTTCAAGAAAGCTCCTCGTCGACACAGCTGGGTCCACTTTCGAGCCTCTGGCCAGACGCACCCCTAGCCGTGTCGCAACGATTCCCGAGGCCTGGGACAAGCCCCGTTAAGGCCCCAAGAAACCCACATGAGACCACGAACAACTTCAATTCAATCTCCTACAAAGCCCCCCCCGTGAACCCCACACGCTACGTGAGACAGGCCGAAAGCCCAAGATTGCCCAGCGAACGCGCGGGTTCCGCGAAGTCCGTCTTTCACTCTTGCTGCCACCCCAAGGGGTCGGCGGTGCGGCGTAAGCCAATGAATCAAACAACCGTTGAAACCGCCCAGGCCTTCATACAGGTTCCAGTACCTTCTCCTCCTACTCCACCAACTCCTCCTCCTCCTGCCCCTCCGCCTCAGTCTCATCCTCCCTCCTCCTGCTCCTCCTCCTCCTCCTCCTCCTCGTCCTCCTACTCCTCCTCCTCCTCCTCCTCCTCCTCCTCCTCCTTCTCCTCCTCCTCACCCTCCTCCTCCTCACCCTCCTCCTCCTCCTCCTCCTCCTCCTCCTCCTCCTCCTCCTCCTCCTCCTCGTCATCCTTCTTTTCCCTCTCCTCCTCCTCCTTGCTCTTTCTCTTCCCAGTGTTCCCCCAAGGGATTCTAGCGTCACCTACTAAGCCGACGAGAACATCCGCGAAAAGGTGCGGGCCACACACAACAAACAACTGCACTGGCCCTCCCCAGCGCAATCACAGGGCAAAGGAAAACCTAATTTAGGGGCGGCTCTGCACGGGGTGGGCGGGAGCTGGAGTCCGTGCCTTGGCTTCCCGTTTGCCACCACCTCTGCCTCTTCTTGGGCGCATGGGGACTTACGTAGCACCCCGCAATTGCGGATAAGAGTGAGGGGGCGGGCGCGGGCGACGCGGGCGTCGTCGAGCCGGCGGACCTCGTGGCCCCCACCTTCCTTGTCGATGGCGCTCTCCTCCACCTCCTCCTCCCTCCTCCTCTTCCTCCTCCTTCTCCTCCTCTTCCTCGTCCTCATCGTCATCGTCATCCTCCTCCTCCACCTCGTCCTCCTCCTCCTCCTCTTCTTCCTCGTCCTCCCTCTCCCCCCTCGTCTTTTCATCATGGTCCTCCCATTGTCGTCCTCCCCCTCATCGGCCTCCATCATCGTCCTCCCATTGTCGTCCATCATCATCATCATCCTCCCCATCCTCCCCCTCCTCGTCCTCCTCCTCCCCCTCCTCCCCCTCCTCCCCCTCGTCCTCCTGCTCCTCCTCCTTTTCTTTCTCCACGTTCTCCTTACATCCTCTCTTCTTCCACGTTCTCCTCGTCCCCTGTTTACTCATCCTGCCTCCCCCTCCTTTCCAAAGATAACTGCAACGCAATCCTTTTTTCCACTTTATGCTCCCCGCCTTCTCTGATCAAGGCAACTCGCCAGGGCAAAGTTGCTGGACGGGCTGGCGTGGATGTGCGGGGCGTGAAGAGGTCCTTGCGGGCTCAGACGGCATGCAAGAATCCGCCGCCGCGCTTGTGCGGCATTGGTTTGTTCAGTGAACGTGGTTTAGGTCGCGGGTGGGTCGCGGGCTCTCCACCTCCACCTGGAAGGAATGCAAAAGCAGCCCGCCGCAAGCGCCAAAAAAATTGGTTCGTACACGGAACGAGGTTTGGGTCGCGGGTGGGCCGCGGGTTCTCCACAGGGAACGAATGCAAAGGATGCCCGCCGCAGGCGCCGAAAATGTGGTTTGTACCCTGAACGTGGTCGCGGGTGGGCCGCGGGCTCTCCACCTGAAACGAATGCAAAATATGCCCGCCGCAGGCGCCGAAAAATGTGGTTTGTACCCTGAACGTGGTTTGGGTCGCGGGTTGGTCGCGAGTTGGTCACGGGATGTGTCGCGGGCTCTCCACTTGGAAGGAATGCAAAAAAGCCCGCCGCAGGCGCCGAAAATTGTGGTTTGTACCTTGAACGTGGTTTGGGTCGAAGGTGGGTCGCGGGTGGGTCGCGGGGTAGGTCGCGGGTGGGTCGCGGGTGGGTCGCGGGTGGGTCGCGGGTGGGTCGCGGGGTGGGCCGCGGGGGGGTCGCGGGGTGGGTCGCGGGTTGGGTCGCGGGGTGGGTCGCGGGGTGGGTCGGGGTGGGTCGCGGGGTGGGTCGCGGGGTGGGTCGCGGGGTGGGTCGCGGGTGGGTCGCGGGTGGGTCGCGTCGGGGTGGGTCGCGGGTGGGTCGCGGGGCGGGTTGCGGGTGGGACGACGACAACACAACAACAACAACAACAACAACAACAACAACAACAACAACAACAACAACAACAACAACAACAACAACAACAACAACAACAACAACAACAACAACAACAACAACAATCACTTTACCCGAACGCTCAGTGTTCTCACCAGTGCCAGGGTTTTCATGCGACGCCAGCCAATACCCCCACTTTGTGGGGGGGCAGTGCAAGCTCTACCAAATATCCACACGACTCTTCGCCACCACCCACACCCAGCTTCCCGCCCTATGACGTTCGGACACTTCACTTCGTGGCCTGCGGACGACCGTGGCTACTACACTGGCGTGGAGTACACACCCACAGAAGTTGTTAAGCCTACGTTCGTACACCCACGGAAGTTGTTAAGCCTTGTTAACCCACAGAAGTTGTGAAGCCTTCCACAGAACATCTGTTGCATATGATGGTCCTCACGGCGGGCTCTTGGGGCCTCTTGAAGGCCTCCTGGGGCAACCTATGGCGCAACCAGTAGGGGGACGTTTTATTCTCGGCGGCCGAGGGCGCAACCTATGGCGCAACCAATAGGGGGACGTTTTATTCTCGGCGGCCGAGGGCGCAACCTATGGCGCAACCGCAAGGGATTGTGGCCCCTGGCAGGCGCGCGAACCCCGTTGCAAGAGCGTGCGAAAGTAGCTCGCGCGAGCTCATGTAACATAAATGTTGGAAAACCATTGGTTTTTTTAGGATTCGGACAGCGCGCGCGGGTAGAAATTTTGAAAAGTCGTGCAGGTGTTTTTCGAGGACCTACGGTGCGATTCGTGTGATTTTATGATGCGCGGTGCTAAAATTCTTAAGAAGCCCAATGGTTTTTGGAGATTTCGGCGTGCGCGCGCGAAGAAAAAACGAATGTGTCCCGCATGGTATTATTTGACAGGGATGATGGCCCTGGCAGGTGCGCAACCGTTGTCGCAGAAGTTCGAAAAAGTTGCTCGCAAAAGCCCGTTTGACAGAAATGTTTAAAAAGTGTTGGGTTTCCTACGAATCCGCAAGAGCGCGCGGGATGAGATTTTGACAATTTTTTGTTGAAAAACCATTGGTGTTTTGATGTTTTTATGTTAAAATCGCTGCGAACACTAAGGTTTTGGAAGGATTTCGTCTTGCGCGCGCGAATGTCCACTTTACCTTATTTTTTGCAAGGGATTCTTGAAATTTGATTATATTAGAACAAGAAATGTCATTTTCTATTGTTTTTTGCAAGGGAAAGCGGATTACAACAAAACAACCGGATCCTGTACACACCCTCTTTTCTGAGGCTTCCTCACGAAAATGATGAAAATGTAGCTGCGGCCTAGGCGGCGCAGGGGGGGCGCGCACCAGGGGGCCCAACAATAATTATTCTTTAGAATAAATAATGTTCAACAACAACAACAACAACAACAACAACAACAACAACAACAACAACAACAACAACAACAACAACAACAGCAACAAGAATCCGCACCGCGGAATTCCACATCAGCCACGCACCCAGGGACAGTGAATGACCGTTCAGCCCCCTCACTCTGATATACTGAAGCGCGTCCCAGACTTACAAAAAAATCACGGGGCCGTTGGGATCTTGAAACAGCTCGCTGGCCTAAGTGGTGGAGGCGAGGGAGGAAGGAGGCCGACGAGCGGGGGGAGAGGGAGGGGGGGGGGGGGCAACAACTTGTGCCATCATAGTTGCTAGAAGAGCACTCTGCTGCAGGCCAAGCGGGAGGCGATTTGCATTCTATTCAACTGCTCTTGGATTAGCTGACTGGTCGCCCGTCTACTATGCCGCTCGAGGATGCCACATTGTCACCAGAGTTGCAAAAATCGCAGCACATCTCGCCCTGCATCATCAACCCACAACTCTCACACTGGGCGCTCAAAAAACCATCGTGCTGCTTGTTGCACGGCTGGCGGCTGAGCTCGTCCCGCGCCCTGTCTAAGGCATACAGAGCACCGTGCGGCCAGCAGCAGGACCTCCCTGGCAGCGGCACGCTCCACTGCAGGAGCAGATACGCCAGCGTGAGGAACTGCGTGCGAAACGGCGCCTGCAGTCTGCGTGGGTCAGCTGCCATTGATCGCTGGGCGGCGACGCTGCTTCAACGCCCGTGGCCTCTTCGGGAGCGGCCAAGAGGGGGGTGTCCAAGAGGGGGGTGTCCAAGAGGGGGGGTGCAAATCATGACGGGCGGCACGTGCGCGGCCCAGCGGGGGGGCAGGGGACGCAATGAAATAAGAAGAGGCGCCATGAGATCTCATGGCCCTCGCCATGACATCCCCCCCCCCCTGGTCATCCTCCCCCTCTTATTCGCCCCCGGCCTCTCCCGGCTGCGGGGCGCCGTGCTCGGGCACGGGGCGCACGCGCCCGGAGGCCGCGCCGGGCACGCGCGGCCCGCCGCCGAGGCCAGCGCGCCTCGCCGGGACCAGGCTCGCGGAACGCCTGCAGCTCCGCTCCTTGGCGGCGCCGCGCTCCCCCCGCGCGGCTGCCCAGGGCAGCGGGTCTCCTCTTGGAGGCGGCCAGTGCGAAGGGGGGACTTATCCATATCCACCGCCGGGGAACCGACGTCCTGGTGCCCCAGCGGGCGGTGGACATGGACGTATTTCGGCCCCCGGGGGCCCGAATGTGTCCATATCCACCGCCTGCCGAGGCTCCGAAAACTAACCCTCCAGGCGGTGGTTATGTATGAATTCCCGCCTCGGAGCCAGGAGGTCTGAACTGGTTGGGACCCCAGAGAATCGGTCAGGGGGGGGGGAGTGAAGCCAAAGCCGCTCAAGATCAGTCCCCAAACACCCCGCCCAGGGTCCATCTGGTGCAGTTTCTCACCCTGGATCCGCTTCTTGCGATCCCGGGGCCTGAAAACGGCCCCCCAAAAGCAGCAACACATACACACACACACACACACACACACAAAAACATAAAAACGATAACCTCCTCACGGGACTATGAAGCATGCGCAGGGTGTGCCGATGTGGGGCGGGGCCGCCATGTGGGCGATGCCACTGGGGCTTTTGGCGGAACCCACTGTGGGGCCGCGAAACGGGCTCCCTATGGGGCCACGAAGCGCTGTACTCGGTGGGGGAACCGCATGCGAGCGCTGTCACTGGGGCCTTCGGTAGAGCTCCCTATGGGGGCCACGAAACGCTGTACTGGGCGGGGGAGACGCATGCAAACACTGCCACTGGGGCCTTCGGTAAAGCTACCCATCCGGCCACGAAACGATGTACTGGGTGGGGGGAGACGCATGCGAGTGCAGCCACGGGGGCCTTCGGTGGAGCTCCCTATGGGGCCACGAATCGCTTTACTGGGTGGGGGGAGGCGCATGCGAGTGTAGCCCCTGGGGCCTTCGGTGGAGCTCCCTTCGGGGCCACGAAGCACTGTACTGGGCGGGGGAGGCGCATGCGAGTGCAGCCACTGGGGCCTTCGGTGGAGCTCCCTATGGGGCCACGAATCGCTGTCCAGCGTGGGGCTCCCGCATGCGAGTGCAACCACTGGGGACTTCAGTTGGAGCTCCCTAATTATGGGGCCACGAAGCGCTGTCCAGCGTGGGGGTCCCGCATGCGCGAGAGCAGCCATTGGGGTCTTCGGTGGAGCTCCCCACGGCGCCACGAAACGCTGGACGGCGTGGGGGGTCCGCATGCGAGCGCAGCCACTGGGGCCTTCGGTGGAGCTCCCTAGAGGGCCACGAAACGTGTGAGGGGCGTGCCGAAACGGCGGCGCAAACTGAATTGAGATCAAACGGAAGGAGGAGGAGGAGGAGGAGGAGGAGGAGGAGGAGGAGGAGGAGGAGGAGGCGGGGAGGAGGAGGGAGGAGGAGGAGGCGGCGTAGGAGGATGAGAAGGAGGAGGAGGAGGAGGAGGAGGAGGAGGGAGGAGGAAAAAAAAAAGAGGCGGAGGCGGAGGAGGAGGAGGAGGAGGAGGAGGAGGAGGAGGAGGAGGAGGAGGAGGCGGCGTAGGAGGTGGAGGAGGAATAAGGAGAAGGATGAGGAGAAGGCGGCGGCGGCGCAGGAGGAGGAGGAGCAGGAGGAGGAGGAGGAAGGAGGAGGAGGAGGAGGAGACGCAGGGCGCTGTCGCTTCAAAACGAGAACCCAGCACCACAGGATCCCCCCGAAAACTCAGAAGCCCGAGCCTGCCAGCCCTTTTCCTGCTGGCCGGAGCCAGCGCTCTGGGCCGCGCCAGGCCCCCAAACGGCTCCCAGTCTTAGGTCGGGAATATCCTCCTACAGGGGGATTTGGACGAAACATAAAAGTTTGCAACAAAAACATGAAAATACTCGAAAAATCGTCCCCAGTCTATTTTTGGACTATGTTTGCATATTCCTCCTGTAGAGGGACATGCCCGACTGAATCCAAGTCTCCTCCATCGGGGCGCAGGGCGGGCGTTGGCTGGATGCACTCCTGGACCCAGAAAAAACAAACTCCAAACAGCACTCCCAATCTCAACATCGCGGATTCACCGAGGACTCGAAGATCATCCAAGGATTTCGGGGCACCCCCTGGTAAAGCCCTACCCCGAGATCTCCCTCCGCGTGTTCGGGATTGGGCGCATGTTCTGAGCTAGTGACTAGTTTGGACGCCCGAAAGGGGTACGAACAAAAATGGGCACAAAGCCCAACAACAAATCTTGTCCCAAACCAACAGCGGGCGCTGTTGGGCAGGCGGCCTTCTGTCTCAAGTGGACACAGGCCACGGCGGCGCGGACAGCGAGTCCTGTTCAAAATGAACAGGAGCTGCTGTTGGGCATTGTACCCATTCTTTCCGCACCCATTTCGCTCGTGCAGATAGGAACTCCTGGACCACTGGCCGGCAGACCTGGGTGAGCTCGTCGGCGGACGCGGGCCACGACGGACCGGGAGGCCTGCCGCCCCGCAGACTCCTCAAGACCTGCTCCGCGCCGACGTGCCCGAACGGCATGCACCCCGACGCGATGACATCGCCACCAAGCCGAACGAGTAGCGGTCAGCTGAGGCGTCGGGCCTGACTGGCCCGCGCTGAAGCAGCTCCGGCGCCATCCACCGCGGCGCGCCGCCCAGCGGCCGGGCGCTCCGGGGGAGGGCCCGCGAGAGGCCGAAGTCGAGGAGCTTGGCGCGGAACGAGCGCTGCCCTCTCCTGCCGAGGCGCCTCTCCACGAAGATGCTCGAGTCCTTCAGGTCGCTGGGGGCGACGACGGGCTGCCTCGAGTGCAGGTCGCGCGGCACGCTCGGGACGTCGGAGGCGAGCAGAGCCCGCGCGGCGGCGCTGCTGGCTGGGGCCCCGGCCTCTGGAGCGCCGCCGCGCGGCTCCGCTGGGCGGTCGGAGCTGCGGCACAGGGGTCGGCAGCGAGCCCGGGGGGGGGGGGGAGCGAGAAGGGCAGGCCGTCGCAGAGGGCTCGGAAGTCGCCCCGGCCTCCGGAAACGTTGGCGAGGCCTGCCCCGAAGACGCGGGGGAACTCCTCGGAGGGCCGGGAGGCTTCTGAGAAATCCCACCGCCTTCTGAGACGGCCTTCTCCTTCTCATTTTGTCCCCCGGCTCGCCGCCGGATGGAGCGGATGAATGCGCCAGGGCACACCGTCGACAAACTCGAGGACCAGGCATAGCTTATTCATGGCAGCGTCCATGGACGCACCGCAGAAAAACGCGACGTTGAGGTGACGAATGCGGCGAAGAATCCTGAGCTCGCTGCAGATCGCGGGTAAGCCTTTATTGACTACGTCCTGCTTGGGCACCTTCACAGCCACTAAGGTGTCGTGGTATACCCCAGGAACGACGGTACCAAAGCCGCCTTCCCCGAGAATCCTGTCGGGTCAGATCTCCACTTCGTCGTTGGCGATGAGTCTGGAGGGGGTCCTGGGCACTAAGGTTCACGCTCCCGCATATAATCTGAAAAGAGGGCTGCCATGGACCAGGGGTGACGCTCCAGTGGGCTCTGCAAGACGAAGCTCGACTGGTTCACGCCCACGAGTGTCACACAGTCAACGGAGCACGCCCCATTAGAAAGGGTCTCAGACTCTGTGGTTACCCGTCGGTCGGGAGTGGGTAGAAACATGAAGTAGGAAGGAGCTGACAGTCGATTGGGCCTCCGCCCGCCCCCTGAAGAGAAGGGAAGAGGCAAAGCCGCTCGACCCTCGAAGTGGGAGAACGCCTAAGTCTGAGTAGGATTTGCTCATCCATACATACCGATGGCTGGAGCTTCCTCGAGCGCGGCCGCAGCACAGCGTACCAGGGAGGAGCGACGCCGACGCCCCGAACCCACCCTGCCATGGTGGCGGCCTCTCCCCACCCTCCGTCTGGAGGGGGCGAAGGGCCAGGGGAGTCGACCTTCGGTCGTGTCCGCGTGCTTCGGGGCCTCTGGCTCCTCTGCTTCCCGGCCCTCCTCCCCAGCACGCTGTGCTTTACAACCTCCTCCTCGTCCTCCTCCTCCTCCTCCTCCTCCTCCTCCTCCTCCTCCTCCTCCCTTTCCCCCTCCTCCTCCTGAGATTCCTCCACCTCCTCCTCCTCCTCCTCCTCCCTCCTCCTCTCCTCCTCCTCCTTATCCGCCTCCCACTCCTCCTCCTCCTCCTCCTCCTCCTCATATTCCTCCTCATCTGTCAAATCATCACCATTATCATCATCATCATCATCATCATCATCATCATCATCATCATCATCATCATCATCGTCGTCATCGTCATCGTCATCGTCATCATCATTATCATCATCATCATCATCAGCATCAGCATCAGCATCAGCATCAGCACCATCATCAGCATCATGCTCATCCTCCTCCTCATCATCATGAGCATCATCATCACCAGCATCATCATCATGATCATCAGCAGCAGCACCATCATCAGCATCATCATCCTCATCATCATTATCATCAGCGTCATGATCAGAGTCATCATCAGCATCATCATCATCACCATCATCATCGTCATCAGTATCATCAGCATCATCATCCTCTGCTTCAGCATCATCATCATCAGCATCATCACCCATCATCATTCTCACCATCATCAGTGGCATCAGCATCACCATCGTCATCATCATCAGCACCAAAATCATCATGGTCATCATCATCAGCAGCATCATCATCAACATTAACATCATCATCATCATCATCATCATCATAAGCATCATCATCAACATCATCAGCAGCAGCCTCGCCGTCATCATCAGTATCAGCATCTCCATGAGCAGCATCATCATCGTCGTCATCACCATCAGCATCATCAGCAGCATCAGCATCAGCAGCATCATCAGCACCAGTATCAGCATCATCATCTACACCATCAGTTTCGTCATCCTCATAATCAGCTGCATCAGCAGCAGCATCATCATCAGCAGCATCATCATAATCAGCAGGATCTTCATCAGCAGCATCATCATCAGCATCAGCATCATTGTCATCATCAGCACCATCAGCAGCATCAGCATCATCATCAGCATCAGCAGAACCATCATCAGCATCATCATCAGCATCATCAGCATCAGCAGCAGCAGCATCATGAGCAGCATCATCATCATCATCATCATCATTATCATCATCGTCATCGGCATCGTCATCAGCAGCATCAGCATCAGCATCATCATAAGCATCGCCATCACCATCAGCATCAGCATCATCAGCATCATTATCATCATCATCACCACAACCATGATCATCAGCATCATCATCGTCATCAGCATCATCATCATCATCATCATCATCATCATCATCATCATCATCATCGTCATCGTCATCGGCATCGGCAGCAGCATCGTCATCAGCATCATCAT